TGCTACACTGCGAAGCTCGCCGCTGGCACGCCTAGAGCGTACGTCCCACGGTCTAGCCGCGCGAAACGCGCGCTCATTCGCCAATCTTTTTTAATTAATATTTCAATAATTATTGCGAAAATTGCAAAATGGTACAGGACTTTTCTGTTCAATTTACTGTGCTCTACCTGCTCACGAGCGTTGTAAAGGGTGCTTTGGGACACCCTGTATAATATAAATATTCTATTTCCATTCTAATTATATTTATTCTACTAATTGCATTTATTCTGTTGTATTGCATAGAAATATATATATTGCATATATTGCAAGCGAATAGGAAAATTCGACGGCTGAACATGTGCGAGCGGCGAACGTTTTCGTGATCGCTCAGTGCTGTTCGTAGCTCGTAGCCTGCCCCCACGCACGAAGCTACACGTACACGCTATGGCGTAGCGACTACGTCTGTGTTAGTAAGTCCCGCGGTAAGTGGTGGGGGCTCCCATTTCCCACAAACTGGCAGCTCTGTGTATGGGTACATATATACATTTAACAGTTTCATAAAATTAACATGCAATAGACATTTCTTTTATTATGGCTTTAAAGATACATTATTATTTTTTCTTTGATTTATTTATTGTTCAATAATTTGAGTTAATTATCTTGGTCATACAAACGCTTTATTCTTACGTTTCGTTAAGTTACGTTTTTCTTTCTGCGTTGCAAATTTCAATCTCGAATCTTCAATCTCAATCTTCAATGCGTAGTCTGATACGGGCTTTAGATTAGCTTATGTATCGCGTAACGTAAGGTTCTCACGTAAATTATATGTTCCAGTAATGTCTCAACAATATTACATTGCAACTTGCAAGATTGTAACATTGCTGCAATGTAATTACAATGTTCTGTGCTGTATGGGAAGGTGGCGTAAGACGCTACGGCAATATACGTGCGCTGGCCCTAAAGAATCACAGGAGAGAACATTTGGTGCTAAGCAAGCGGACGGAAGTGCCTATATATAAGTGGACGTTTAAGATGGCCGTTCAGAGACGAATTGCAGCATGACAGAGATACTGGAAGCACCGACGAGATATTATTAAAAACCGTCAGCCCTGGGTAAACTTTTGTGACCATCAAGTGGGCCCGGTGGGCCCGGAGGTAATTGAAGAATGTTGACATTACCGGCCGTTTTATTGGATCGAAGATAATTACACGAATTATTTAATTCATACGGTTATTTTACTTCATCCAGTTATTATTTTATTATCGAAAACACCGACGAGATATTATTAGAGACCGATGGTCTTATAGGATTTAGCATATTACTGGAAAAAAACTCGCCACGCGGTACTGCAGGTAAGAAAATCTTTGCATTGTCGATAATAAAACAGTAAATTTACGATAAAATGTTTATTTTGTTGTTCTTGAGGCAGTTATATAAAAGATCTATACATTTTTGATAATAAAACAATAACTGGATGAACTAAAATAACGCGTAGCGAGTTTTTTTTCCAGTCACACTAAATCCCATAAGACCACCGGTCTTTAATGATATCTCGTCGGTGCTGGAAGCAATGAGTAAAGAATCACAGGAGAGAGCATTTGGTGCTAGCAAGCGGACGGAAGTGCCTATATATAAATAGACGCTCAAGATGGCTGCTCAGGGACGAATTGCAGCATGACAGAGATACTGGAAGTACCTCAAAGGCCTGGCAATGCACCATGATCTTACAATTAACACTTATTAATAATATTTGTTTAGCCTAATATTGGCTCTTCCTTTCACTTATTTAAAATGGTGATCGTGCGCAAAATAAGTGCAGACTGAAATAAGTAAGACAACAAGTGGCTGTACACGGCCCTGAAAAACGTCGAAAAAAATAGACGCTCAAGATGGCTGCGATGACGTACTACCATCTTAGAACATATATAAATGGAAGGGGAATAGCAGGCTGAAAAGTGTCGGTAGGAAGTGAGAAAGAAAATGTAGTTGCCTCTCTTTTGGGAGTAACTACACATACAAGCATCGTGTCTGTAGTATACATACTTTTGTGTACAAACACATGGCCATGCATGCGCACTTTTGAGCAGAGTTAATCACAAGAGAGAGGCAACTATGATTTTCTTTCTTACTTCCTTCCGACATGTTTTTCTATCGGGAAACAAAGGCATTCCCCTTCCATTTATATATGTTCTAAGACTACCATAGATATAGGGCGCGTTCCACTTAATGACCGCAACGCTCGCGAGCATCATCTGTCTTTGTTTAACTTTTGGTGAACAACAAGGATGAAATGATACCATGAGCATTGCGGTCGTTGAATAAAGGCAAACGCTCGGTCTAAATATACTATGTCTATGGCTGCAGCTTTTCAGAGCTGTCTCAAAACATCGTCCTGCCACGCTATCACACCAAATCACACGCGATCTTCGATACCACCCGAATATTTATTTCTATGCTAGATGGTTGAAAACGTTAAGAAGCAGAGAGTTAAAATAAATATGAAAAATGGTAAAGTGTATCTTAAAAAACTGCACATCAAGTTATAATAATGGTTTTAGAACGGATAGTACATCTGGTCACGTGGTTGACGTAGTTAGATCGACAAGAACAGGTCTGAGAAGCGACACCTCTTGCAGTTCCATATTTCTGGCCGCCAATCAGCAGAGCCGTGCGCGTTCCAGTATGGTATATAGTTCAGTGCTTGTTCTTGTTCTTCTTTCTTTTATGGCTGGTTGGGCATTAGTCGCCCATACACCATTGTTTCTTATGGGTTTGTAAAATATAAGCAAAATTCCTCTTAAGAGAGGAAGGAGTCCAGAAAAAGGTCCAGACAAGGGACATACGCAACACGCAAAAACACGTCCGAACCCGACACGTTGTCAGTCCCCTGCCGAAAATGGTCGATTAAAACGGATTTAAAAAAATGTAATCCGAATCGATCGGGATTTCTGCACCGAAAATGCGGTATTAAAACCGATTGAAAATAGTCAAATCGAATTTAGTAATAGTTTCTCATGGATGGACGCCATATTTAAAGCTAACCTAAAGCAGTGTCGTGGTCAGCTGTACATGTTGCATCGCTGCACATGTTTGTTGCTCCGATTTGCGATTATAAAGCCAAATAAACTGAGAGCATTAAAAAAGAGTTTCTTTTATTGTGTGCATTGTTATAACGTATTCCGACAGCGGGAGATGGAAAATATCCTCGTCGAAAGCAATAAAACAAAAAGGTAAGTAACAGAAGTAAACAAGTAAACTTTTGATTAAGTAAAAGTGAATAATGCATAGTATTTTTTCAGTATAATGGAAGAAAACTCAAAGAATATAGAGCATGAGACAGATGAATTAAAATTCAAATATTTGCAAAGAAATTTGAATTTAGTCGAACGGCCTTCTTCGAATTGGGGATTTTCAAGAGGAAACGATACATTTTTTGGTTTTATGAAGGCAGAAAGTGATTTCAGTGTCAGAAAAAGAGTTGCTGTGTTCCCAAATTTACATATTAATATTTATATTGATGACAAGATTATGCCCTTTTCAAAACATATAAAAGTAACAAGTATTGATGAGATGAGCGAAATTTTGAAAACTATGGATTCAGTTTAATTCACATTCTGTAAATAATTGTACATATACATCAAATATACATTAACAATCATTGTAAACATCTAAATTTATTTTTTACAATAGAATTATATAAATTATACAATTATATAAATTATACAATTATACAAATAAAAGAAGACAATTGTACAAATGGAAAAAAAGAAATAAAGTTACAAGTTTATAATTTATGTTATTTTTGGTTTTTTTTTACTCTTTGTACTGTCACGCCAATTATTTAAAATTTTTTCTGTGCGAGCTGTAAAAAGGTCTTTCTTTCTTGAAGCATCTTTTATTTTTCCTCCTTTGTTGGTGCATCCACGTATCCAACATGCCATTTTTTGTCTTGTCTTTAAGAGAATACTTTCCAAAAAATATACTTCACACGTAAAAACGCGATGAAACACGTCCGCACAAAACTGAGGTAAAGCCGGGCTGGTCGGGTAAGATTGATAATTGCAAATGGCGTCTATCCATAAGAAACTATTCCTTCCAGCGGATTTCCTCCCTATTAGGTGCCACAAATCAAGACCACTTTTGTTTTACGGAGTTCGATTTCCTTCTCTCTTACTTTATGGTCGGAACTAAGTTCAGTGCCTGTAATTCTTTACCATAGAGCTCTGTTACACGGCACCCTTAATCGGGTTTAATAACATCCGTAGTTGTGAAACTGGCCAATCACAGCTATTCCTCTGAAGAATGGAATGATTGTGATTGGCCATCCTTCGAACTACGGATGTTATTAAACCCGATTAGGGGTAACGTGTAAACGTAGTCATAGACATATAGAATGGACTGAGCGTTGCAATAGACAAAGGCGCGCTCGCTGTAGAAAGAGAGATACTATATGGGAGGCATAGACATAGTATATCTAGACCGAGCGTTTGCCTTTATTTAAGGAGTGGGGTAAGTGCCGGTCTACAATAAGTGATTTAAGCCCTAAGCCTTAAAAAATCGACTAATCACAGTTGAGTATTCTCCTCATACTTAATTGTGATTGGTCAATTTCTTAAGGCTTAGGGCTTAAATCACCTATTGTAGACCGGCACTAAAGATACACGTAGAAAAGGACATACTCTGTTTCGTGCCCCTTGCGTTCTCTCTCGCTCGCACAGAGCATAGCGCTCTCTTTCGTCATGCTACGTGCGAGCGAGAGAGAACGCAAGGGGCACGAAACAGAGTATGTCCTTTTCTACGTGCACCT